GCCCTAAAAGAGCACTATTTTTTTTTTTACTGTACAAGGTGTGATCAAACAATATGGTGAATGTTTAAATTTAAAAAAAATTGTTACAGTAAAAGACACATTGCCGTTAATCCTCCTCAAAATACTCCCCTTGCTTTGAACACACCCATCCCATCATTCTTGCCACTTTCTGAAGCAGTTCTGGAAGTCCTCTTTCATGAGTGTCTTTAGTTGCACTGTCGTGGCTGCCTCAATGTCCTGAATCATTTTGACTTTGGAGAAGAGGCAGAAGTCGCATGGTGCCAGATCCAGTGAATAAGGTGGATGAGGACCCACCGCAATGCTTTCATTTGACAGAAATTGCTGTACCAGAAATTACGTGTAACATGGAGCCTTTCCATTGTGATAAAAAAAACTACGGTGAATGCTGCTGCCAAGTGCCATCCAACAGAAAGGCAGGGATCTTCAATACAGGAAGCAGGGCATTGAACCTTAGTAACAGTGTGTGACAAGTTTCAACTTTTTCAGTGCAGTCTGTCCGGTGTGAACCATTGTTGAGAGGTGTGTTTTAAAGTGTGCTGTAAATCATCCTCCATCATGACAACGCTGTGTCACACATCGCTTCTGATATGGCAATTTTTGTCAAATGAAAACACTACGGGGCCAGCCAAGTGGCACGTTGGTTAAGAGTTGGCTTGGGACGCCAGCTCTGAGCAGTAGGGCCACCTGTTCAGATCCCACGTGGGCCAGTGATGCTGCGCCCTCTACAGCTAAGATGGTGAACAACAGCTTGACCTGGAGTCGGGCTGCCATGAGTCACCGGTGACAGTGTAGGCTGCAATGGGGCTGGCCGGCAGCGGGCATGAGCTTTCATGAGCTGCTGTGAGCTGCCGTGAGCGGCTGTCCAATGGCCTGTGAGCGACTGCCTCACCCAGGAAGAGCGCAATGCCCCAATAAATCTTTTTTAAAAAAGAAAACATTATGTTTTCTCATCCACCTGATTGATCGGATCTGGCACCGTGAGACTTCTGGCTCTTCCCCAAAGTCAAAATGATTCAGGACATTAAGACAGCCACGACACCGCAACTAAAGACACTCATGAAAGAGGACTTTCAGAACTGCTTCAGAAAGTGGCAAGAATGATGGCATGAGTGTGTCTGAAGCGAGGGGAGTATTTTGAGGATTAATGGCAATATGTCTTTTACTATAATACATTTTTTAAAATTTAATCATTCACTGTATTTTTTAGCACTTCTCATGTTAATAACTTCAGGTATTTTTAAAGGTTTTTTTTCTGATTACAAACTAAAGACACATTGTTTAAAATGTAGAAAGTTAAGAAAAGAAAAAGGAGTAGGAAATATCCCATAATCCCACCAATCAAATGATGGCCATGGTTAATGTTCTATTCTTTTGTTTAACGCTTAAAAAAAAAATCCTGTATATACAATTTTGCTTACTTTTTCACTTTAACATTATAATATCCATTTCCAAGTCATAAAAACTCGTGAAATATTGCTTTAAATAGCTACACAATGTACTCTGAAAACTTTTTTACCCACCTCAATTCAGAAGAAGGCAGTGGAGATGCCATTCCTCTCATTTGTACATGTCCTCAGGCATTTTCAGTTCATAGGACTCAATTCCAGCATCAAAGAGGCCATCAAACTGGAATCCCCCTCCCCCATTTCCTGCATTCCCCCAAATACTTCCAAACTTGTCTCATCCACCCACACTCATTCTTCCTCTGCTCCAGTCTGAGGACTTGCTGTGAGTTTGGCTAGTGGTTCAGCCAAACACTTTAAGTTTGAATCCTAACACTTCATAGCCACGTAATCTGGGAAATTTGTTTTACGTCTCTGAATATCATGCGCAAAATGGGGATGTTGTCATAGTTCTTATGAGGATTAAATTACATTACATATGTGAAACATTTAGCACATAATGGGTGAATCATCCAACAAAACCCAAAGATTCCCCTCTAGCTACAGCACTCTCCTCCCTAGCCCTTCTTTTCCAGACACGTTTTTGGAAAATGACTTATACCTGCTCTCTATTTGTTCATCTCCCATTTACACCCAAACTCAGTGTATATCTGCCTTCTGTTCCTCCCCTACTTACACTGCTCACAAAGATATCCTAATGAACTCTAGATGCCTCCATGGAGCTTTGAGTCACTTAATCTTTGTGCATAGTCAGTTAATCAATTTCTCCAAAATTTTCTCTTGGTCTCCATGACCAGAATCTTCCCAATTTTCCTCACTCGTTCTCACTCTCCTTTGCTGCCTTCAATCTGTCCTTAAATTAGTATCTGTCCTCAACATTCATGTCTGGAAAAAGCAGGATTCTTTGCTGAGAGATCTGAGTTGGTATTCTGGTTCTCCTACTTACCAAACTGAGTTCCTAAGTTATTTAACTCACCTGAGCCTCCACAGTCTTGTCTGCAAAAACATGACTCCTCTCCTGGATGATCATCCTAAATAAAGTCATTTTTACAACCGAACTTTTATTTCCCACTGGCGGAACTGATTAGTAGGCATTAACTGGAATTCCAGGCCTGGGAACCCATTTCATAACATAAGAATGTAAAAACTCAAAACAAATAATATGCTCTTCAAAATCTTTATTAACCATATAAAACTAAATAATCTGAAATATGATATAAATGTTCCTTTGAGGTATTTTTCTTCATGGGCTGAACTGGCTGAGGTTTCTTAGATTGCTAATGTGGTTTGGACAGAACGTGCCATCTTTTTCTGGTAAATCTTCCTAGAGCATATAGACATTTTTCCTTACTCCAGAGACCTTTGAACTGCATTGAAAATTAGGGTCATCTGCCACAAAGAAAAAAAATAGTTCAATGATGTTCAGATGAATGCTTCTCAAAGTTTATAAAAGCTAAAAGTTGGGAGAGGGGCAGTTTCAATGATGTCTTATTCTTCCATTTTTATAAGAATCTACTTTGCTGAGCTTCTGAGAAATTGCTAACAATACAACCAAGTTTGCAGGAGAAACTTCTAGATCCGCTCACTCTGCAATGTCTATCAGTTTCAGTGATGCTTTTTACAAATGCTTTCAAAATTGTTTCCTCCAAATTCCTAGTTCCAGGCTTCACGTACGATTTTCACAATATCCAAAACGTTTCCAAAATTCTTTTGATTCATCTTCCTTGTTGCTTTAATTGGCTTTTAAAATTTTCCCCAAAATACCTTAAGGATGCAACAACTTATTGGATCTGATGGCTAGTCAGTGAGATGCTCTGTAGAGATAAATGGGAAGAAGAAAAACTACTCTGTCAAAACTACTCTGTCAGGATACTGCTGCTTAAGTTAGGAGGCAGCCTAAAGCATTACCCAAACCCAGCTTTTATTAATTTTTTAAATGCCATTATTTCTTGACCTCTGGAACAAAGTTGAGTTAAAATCAAAGCTTGAGAACTGGGTCATCGAAAGACATTAGTTAATTAATTAAAGGGGACTCCCATTAATTAGTTAATGGATTCTTGGCAAGATCAAGTTAAAGGCAACAGTTTCAATTTGCAGCCAACTGCAATGTGATTCCTCCTACCCAACTGTATAGTCAGTCTTTTTCTTCTTTACTAACATCAGCTTTCCAAAACGTAGTTAAGTATCTGTCCCAAACAGTAACAGGACTCTGCATTTTAAATTTTCTGGAAAATTCTTCAATGCTTCAATATTAGCACTTGTAGCTTCAGCATGATGTTGCTAGGTTCTCTTTGTTATAAAAACAAACAAAAACTATTTAAAGTGCTGTGTTCTCATCTAATGAAATCCCTATTCCCTTGTTTCCATTCCACAGGGGTTCTAAGTTCAGGGCCTCCTTAGTCTTACCCTGAGTTATTGTCCCTTGGGCCCTCAGTCTACCTTGCAGGATTCCTCCAACATAGCACTTATCACATTTTATTGTCATTTTATTTTTACATGGGTCTCCTCTATTTTATCCTGAGTCCCTAGTGGGCCAAGACTATTTCTTACTGGTCTTTGGTCTACCAGTTAGTACACAGAAGGCACTCAGTTAAGTATCCTGTGTTGGAAATGAGCCCAGCTCTTACAGCAGCTTTCATATGGCTGAAGTCTCTTTGAAAACCAGATATTTTTCTACTTTATAACATTCTTAAACAATATGCGAAAAATCTACTGCAAGTTTTGATGAAAAATACCCAATTTTTCTCTTTGAAGCTAGTGCACTAGAAAAATGAAATTTTAATGACTTGGAGTGATCCTAATGATCCTATATCACACTTTTAAAGTTATCTTCAGTGGTACCTGAAACAAGTTACCTGCTCCAGCCTATGCAGCTTTTTAGGTTGTCACCCACAACTCAGTTTATGTATCTAATTGATCTGTCTGCACCAATTCCTCTCACACCTCCAAGCTGTGCTTTTAAACATGCCATAGATTAAAAAGCTAAAATAATCAAGCTTGTTAGAAATACTTATGGCAGGAATAGTCCCTAATCAAGAAAAATAATATACCCATGATCAAAAAACACAAGTATCTTGCAACATCCATTATATCTGCTCAAAGGCCTTCATTGCTTTCTCTGGTTCTAATCTACATCAGAAAAAGATGTCACATAGAATTAGCACTGTTTATCACTTAAATTTGCCCTCTCAATTCTTAAAATCCAGCTTAGTTTAGTGGGTTAAAACCCTTCCCACTTTAAAGTTCTCTTCTGTAACTCAGTTCAAATTAAGTTATGAGTCTTATTACATTCACTTAAAAATCTAAAGCTGTTTTAAACTACATTATACTATCTTTCTAGCAGATCAAAAGCATAATGTGATGATATAAAAATATTAATATTTATGACAAAAAATATTGATGGGTAAATTTTTAAATCCCAAAATGTAACTAATGTGGCCTAAATCCCATCACTAAATATTCGATGTTTCATATTCTATTAAAAAGTGTCTTCTTCTTTTAGTACTTCATATATACTATACTCTAAATATTATACTGTAGTAATGGAGAAAAAATAGAAAACAGGCATCACAAAAATTTAGACAGTTAAGCTCAGAGTGACTTTTAATATGCCAATCAATGTTAATAAAACACAAGTCAAAGAGACAAGTGCAAACATGTCTTATACCAAAATTAATAGGAAAACAATAGAAAAATTCTTTTCTTCCAACATCTATTAGCCAGTATTATTAGTCAAATGGCTAATCACAGATAAAATATATTTTGTGAAAAGCTTGGAATAGTCAGAAGTCATTCTGGCATTTCAAACAGCTATGTACAGTACCACCAAGATTAGTTTATATACACAAATATTGAAGAGGACCAAGGCACAACAGTTAAAAACAGACTAACAATACAATCAAGTACAAAACTTGGGTGGAAGGAGGAAACATTTTTAAAAAAAAAAAAGAGTCCGGGAAGGGCATTATCAGAAAAAATTACAAAACCAGTAATAATTATACTACATTAATACAGCATTCCAAAGGGGGGGGGGAGGTGCACTTCTCCAATGCACTAGCTTCAAAGTCCAAAGAAAAAGAAAGGCAAATAGCTGCTTTTCATCAAGAGCAGCTATATATTTCACATAATTGTTTTCAAAAGAATGCCTATTAACAATGATGATTGTTTAATGCTACAATTTTACAGCAAAGACAAAACTAAAATAGCAGCAAATTCACAAGGCAATACTTCCACAGAATTATCATTCCATGGTTCATACAGTGCCTACAAAGTGCTCCCAGTTGGATATACAAGTATAATTCACACACAAAAAAAGAAAGAAATATAAGACTGACACACAGGTACAATGAAGGCTGAGCAGTAACTGAGTCTTAGCATTTCCCTTTTCAAAGGGAGAATGTTTGTAATAAAGCCCTTGAGTCCTTTTTACAGGTCATTATAGGGAAGGACACCTTTTATTACAACCCAACAGCAAACTATAAGCAGCAGACCACCATAGTGGTTAACCCTGGAAAGGCTGATGTAACATCCAACAGTGACCGACATCCTACAGAAGACTGACTGGTAAGACTAGATGAAAGCCTGATAGAGCATTGGTCAAAATACAGCTTTTAACTGTAATTCACAAATAAAAGTCCTAACAGGTAAACTACTAACACCGATTTTGAGAAAGTGATTGCAAACTGAATTCTAGCAGTGATTTCAACCTATCTTCCCTCTTGTCACAGTTTTTTGGGGGAGGTGGGAAACGAGTAGTTCAGTATATGGTAAGACTGACAGAGCGGTTCATTTTCTTTCCAATAAGTCGAGATGTTCTATTACTCTGGGTGGTGGACCTAGTAGCCATCCGGTCAGTGAAGAGTGCTCTTTCCTCAGCTGCAGCTTTTGCCAACTGGGCTTTCTTGAGTTCCCTAAAGAACATAAAAATAGGAAACAAGATTTTTTACCTACTGTATTAATCAATCCTAGGAAGGAACCCTAAGAGGCCAAACACAAACTATAATATCGGGGCAATCTTTACATGTCATCATTATTCAAAGATGCAAATAAGGCAGGAAAAATATGAAACTTTAGCTTCTGTTCAAACAACTTACATTTATAAAATAATTTTACTCTGTCCTTTCAGAATTAAAATATATACACTTAAATACAAGTAATGACTGGGTTTTAATTAAAAAATAACTTCAAATAGAACTCTATACTGTGAAAATATCTTTAAATAACAGATGAAAGGAAAATTCTACTTCCTATTTGTATGAACAATGATGGCTATCAAACTAATGGCAAATAAATCCTGTATTTCAAGTAGTTTTATTAGGTTAGAATCAAAATGGTAGCAATAAAGCAAATGAATTAGAATTATTCCAAGTTTTCTGAAAATGTCAAAGGTTATTTGCATCACATGAGAATCAGCTATTAACCTAATCAACATCAATCTCATCCTTTCATAAAAATAAGTAGAAAAGAATTTTTCTTAAAAAAATTTAAGCTCATAATTTCAAAGATTAGAAACAACACAAATTTATAGGTCAAATACTAACATACTAACTTAAGGCAGAAATCCCCAAACTTTAACTGTATAACATGCCAAGTCACTATATCTTTCACTGACAGAAAGCCTTCATCATCTCTCATTAAAATTTGTGAATTAAAAACAAATCAAAACCCCTCACTTACTTCTGCAAAAGTGAATTTTTGAACTTTTCAGCATTTAATTCTATTCGTAATTGTTCTGCACTTTTTCTAGAAGCAGACAGCAATACTGAATGCTTTACCAATGCCATTGCTGATGGTCTTCTCTCTGGATCTGGATGAATCATAACCTTAAAAAATATATATAAAATTAAGGTAAAGACATGTGATTTAGTAAAATATTGAACCATATCAATAAAGTGCTTTATATACAAAATACTCACTTTTAGCAGCTCTGTAAATTCTTGGGAAAGCACTTGTGGAATCCGAGGTAATCTACCCTGTCTGATTTCATGCCATTGGTCTCCATTTCTGGGAAGAGGTTCAGCACCAGCAGCACATACCACTGTGAGGGCAAGGGCAAAAATATCCGCTTTTGGTAGATGGGTATAGTTCTGTAAAATTAAAAAAAGAAAAAAAAATTAAGGAAATATAAAAATAGTCAAAATAAAGTAAGATTACACCTCAATAATGATTTTGGTGAGAAATAGGACTAAATTAAAATGTCCAACGCCACATTTAAGTTCAAGGCCTATTCAAAGAACAAGCTAAATTTGGGGAAATTATTCTAATTACAAAGTATTAAACACTCGGGTGGGGGAGCGGTAAATAAATTTCTAAAAGTGAATGTCTCCCTCTTTATCACTAGCCCAATTCAACTCGCAGAACAAACTCCTATCCTTCTAAGGCAGTGGTTCTCAACCTTTCACAGGGGTCGCCTAAGACCACCGGAAAACACATTTTCGATGGTCTTATGAATCCAGACACCGCTCCTCTATCCGTCTCCAGGCCCACATACAAGTACCCGGTGACCCCTGTGAAAGGGTTGTTCGACCCCCAAAGGGGTCGCAACCCACAGGTTGAGAACCGATGTCTAGGGGCATATGAAAACACAAAACATACATATATTGACAAGTTACAAATAAATATACATAACATATACATGTAAGACACAAACATATAAAAAGAGCAATGGGATCATAAAATTTATTTGTTCTACTTGTTCTATTTTCATTCAAAACTTGTTGAGAAATACTTCATCACAGTTTTTGAAACAGTACTATTAACATGTCATAATTTACTTAATCATTCCTATGTTGCTAAGTACTTATTCACATTGTTCTCAGTTTATATGAATGTTTTTATAGGAGACTCCTAGAAATGGAAATTCTGGGTCAAAGGGTATGTGATTTTAAAATGTTGCTAGATACTAATACTTTGATCTCCAAAATGGCTATGCCATTTTAAAGTTCCACTAGTGTTGTATGAACTTCTCTTTTACTACAACTCCACCACTGTTGAATATTATAAATATTTGCCTTTACTGACTTTTGCTAAATTAAACCCCAGCCGATGGTTTAGCCTTCCTATTTTATATTACCATTGTACTAGTTATTAGCTCAAAATTTTAATACATCTCCATTTATGTTTTATCAATCAATGTTACAAAGCAAACGGCATTATTAAAAAGAGAAAAACTACCTCCTGCAAAACTTCATTTGCAAGAAAACGGCTATCACCCTCTTCAACTTGTGGACTAGAAATCCTTGTTACATGCCCAAGATCACCTAGAAGTATTGAAAAAAATGTAGCCAAGAGTTAAAACACAACAGCCTCTCTCTTTATTTTAAGGTAATAATCTGATTATCTTTCTTTCTTACCTATTTTAAATATAACTTTGTTGGACATCCAGTCATCTTCATCTCCTTCTTCAGAGGCAGCATTTGGAATTGAGGTTCGAGATATGAAAATATTACCTGTCAAACAGTTATTTATGTAAGCCACACTAACAATTAATAGTATAACCACAGTTCACAGACAAGGCCATACATCAGAATCATCCAGAAAGCTTGTAAATATACAGAGGGTGCCAAAAAATATATATATGCATTTTAAGAAAGGGAAAAACGGTATTAAAATTGTAATACTTAATATATACTGATAACGAAAGATGAATAAAAGTCATGTGTATACATTTTTTATTTTTGGTACCCCCAGTATATATATTCTTATATGTTCTACCCCAAACCCAATGAGGTTAAGAATCACAGGGGATAGGAACTGGAGCTATACTTTCTAAGAATATACTTACGGGCCTAGCATTGGTCCCTGAGCACCTAGAAACCACTGCATCAGGCCCTTCTCATCTTCATATTGATCATCAGCAGTTTTTATTACTTAGTAACAATACAAAGAGCAGTAACGTAGTTATCTGTAATGCTGCCAAAGCACAAATTTTATCTAATGCTACAAGGCTGGTGTGAAGAAAATAGTCATGTAGCTGTTGAGTTTGGCTGACCATACACCATCTATATCCCAATGTGGCTTCATGGTCCACTATTTCAGATGTATACACACTTTTTTTCTTCAAATTTGGGTAAGCTCATGATTAACCAGAGTTTTAGTGCCAGATTTCATTTTAATCGTTTTATAAATATAGTATTGAATTTATAAATGTTCTATTCATTGGAGTCATCTTTCCAGTTTGGCTTTATTTATAGGACAAATTGTTTTATGGTGGTATTTGTAAACTAAACATTTTTAAAACTTCACATGCCTTAATATTTTCAACTTCTGTACTTAACAATATAAGGGTCTACTATGTTTGTCTGACACATAATACAAGATATGACTGCATGTAGGCAAACCTTACAAGTCACATTTACTGTCATCAGTCCAAATATATTTTTTGAAAATAAAAAATTTTAGTGAGTTGTTTAAGTACAGATAAGAACTTCACATACTCATAGAATTCAAATAAACTGTAAAAATGTTCTTAATTCCCCTGGATTACACATTTCCACAGGTTAAAAAACAAAAACAAAAAACCCAATACTTTTAAATATAACTTAAAAACACCTCTCCTAAAATGTTTAACTTGAATCCATCCTTTTAGTTATAACTTCAAATTTACAGGAAATATAGGGGAGAGAGGAATAAGCTAAATGATGCAAAGAAGCAACCAATCAAATCCAGAAGGATGTACATCTTGCAAGGTGTCCATATTATTATTTTTAAAAACAGGGCAAGGTAACACCTAAAAAAACAAATGGACATAAACAGATGTAATGCATGGTCCTGAAATGGACACTAATTTGGACAAATCAACTGTTAAAAACTTGGGTTAACTGGGAAAAATTTTAATATGACCTGGCTATTAGATGAGATGAAAACTTACTAAAATGGAAAGGCAGAGATCGTTGAATTAAAAAAAATTAAACCGTGTACATTATGGTATTTTAATTAAATGAGGGATTTACACTTAGATGTTATTGTAAGATTCACTTGCATCCTTTTTTACATGCAATATAATCGGAATGCATGTGCCATTTTCATGGTACTTTATAGGCTAGAAATGCCACCATGTTTGTAAAGTACTTAAGTTTTCAAAGCATTTCCACACCTCAGTTTATTCTAATTAACCCTGTTAGCAGCAATGACATTATTTTATAACCGTAGTTCCAGAGACCAAGATGACTGGGTAATTATTGTTTTTAGTCTGGCTTGTATTTTAAAATATTTTTACAATGTGCTCATTACTGCTTCTGTAATAAAATATTGTTTTAATTTTTTTAATTTAAGCTAAGATTTAAGCCTACACCTTGATAAGTACCACTGCTGCCTTCAGTCTGAAGTCTCATAAGCCTTTCAAAAAATACACTGATAGGGCCGGCCGAGTGGCTCAGTTGGTTAAGAGCTTGCTCAAGAGTTTGAGCTCTGAGCAACAGCAGTTCGATGCCCCAGCCCGAGCTGAGCTGAGCTGAGCTGCCAACAAGGTGACAGTCTGGCTCAGCTAAAAAAAAAACAACAACAAAAAAACGCTGATATTGTTCTGAGCCATAGTATGGTCAGGTCTACTGGAGCCATTTATACATATATAAATCAACTTTTTAGCTGAAAAATAGCCTAACAGTAAAGAGAAAAAAAAACTAAACCCACTATATTCCTACTCACTTGCAATCTCCAACCCTGATTCACTTGCAATCTTTTTTATAAAGTTACAATCATAATGTGTTGTTTTCTGACTCATACAATTTTATTTTACAGACTAGAAATACGTTTGCATAGCCCTTAAGTTTTCAAAACATTTCCACATTTCTCATTTTGTTCTAATAACCCTGATAGCACCAGCATTAATTTATAATTATGGTTCTATAGTATAGTCTAGTAGAAGGGGCTTTAAACACAGGTTCTTAGTCTCCCCCAAGAGTCCCACTTTGCAACTATGTAGTTTGCACAAGATGTCTCAAAATTTTCCGTTTTTAATAAATGTGAGTTCATTAAATCAAATCTTTTGGGATAGCAAGAGATGAATGGAAATCATAAAACAATACTAATAAGTTGGCTAAAGGTCTTTTAAACTGACAATGAAAGAAAAATAGTAAGATGTTTTCACATTGTTTTAATGAAGTCATTTACTCTATAATCCTAAAGTCACAGGTCAGAGGATTTGTAATACTTACTAGGCTTTATATCCATGTGAACCAAAGACATTGAATGGATATACCTCAAGCCCCGGCCAACTTGCAAAAGGAGATCCTTCAACTCTGCTTCGGTAAAGTAACTCATGCTTCTGTAGTTTTTACTTATGGCATCAGCTAAACTTCCACCTAACAAATACGAAAAAAATTACCATTATCTTCTATCTTTATTGAATAACCAGACTTAACCAAGAAAGGGACATTTTATAGGACTTATTCCCTTCAACCTGCTTGTGAAATCAAAATTTTATTCTTTCAATAGATAATACACTCACATGGGTACAAAACATAATGTAGTTTTTATATCATCCATATACCCCAGCAACCCACCTGGTTCTCTTCCCCAGAGTAAACCAATTTTATCAGTTTCTTATGCATTCTTTTCAACTCCTTTTTATACAAATGATAAAATCTTTTCATTATCTTGAAGATCATTTACCAACGCACAAAAACTACTACCCTTCTTTCTTGTGTCTCAACAAAATTCTACCATATAACTGAATGCTAGTGCATTAACTAATCCTTTAATTGATGGACATTTAAAATAATTTCCAAGTATTTGCTACTTTATACACTATGGTCTAAGGAATAACTTTGTACATTGGTCATTTCACATATATTTAGTACATCTCCTAGAAACACACTGCTGGGTCAAAGGGTATACACAATGTAATACATGAGTGCATAGTGTGTGTGTGTGTTAATACTATTTTATTACATATAGAATAAGTTTCTGTAGGTGACAGGGCCATTTCTCTGTTTATCCCCTGCAAAAGAGCTTAGGATTGGTATTCACACCATCAGGAGCAAGGCTTGACTGTCTCTGAAAAGTTCACATAAAGAAATAGTGTACTCAGTTTGATTTCAAAATGGCTAGTATTTAACTCTATTAGCATGTGTCTACATGAATCTCGGGTGGTTATACACGTAAACACACACACACACACACACACACACACACACACACTCCCCTATAGAGAAGGCTGTACCAATTTATACTCCCATCATTAATGTATGAGAATACCTGTTTTCCCACACCCTTAACAAGTTTGTAAATTTTATAGGTAAAAACCAGTATCTTAGTAGTTTTATTATTATTATTTTTTTAAGATTTTATTATTAGGGAATTGGGGGAGGGGAACAGCATTGGGGAATCGGGGAAGGGGAACAGAGAAGTTGCTGTCCTTTTGTTCTTCAGTCTAGTTGTGGAAGATGTCGCTTCACTGGCTCATGTTGGTATTATCATTGCGCTCTTCCCAAGAGAGGCAGTTGCTCGCCAGCCATTGGATGGCTGCTCATGGCTGCTTACGCTGGCTACTGGCCACTCACAGTAGCTTATGGCAGCCCACTGCAGCAGGGGCTGCAGCCTACGCCTTTGCTGGTGACACAGCAGCCAAGCTCCAGGTCGAGCTGTTATTCACCATCTTAGCTGTAGAGGGCGCACCATCACTGGCCTTCATGTAAATCCAAACTGGGGCTCTGCTGCTCAGAGTGGGCGTCCCACCAAGCCAACTCCTAACCAACGCACCACTCGACCAGCCCAGTGGTTTAGTAGTTTTAATTTATACTACTCTTACTATGAATTAGAATAAAACCTGATTTTATAGAATCAGCCAAACCAATCATCTAATTTGTTTATACTTTTATAAGTTTATACTTACAAGTTTTAAACTTTATCTCAGAGGAAATGAGGACTTATATTAACAACAAACAAAAAAAAGTCCAAAACAAACCACTTCTGTTTAAAGCTTAGAAATAATAAAAGCAGGGAAGTCAATGAAATATTATGAAAGGTCCTTCAATTTGAACAAGATGGAGTAAAATGTCAAATGTGTTTTTAAAATAAAAATAAATCACACACCTGGGTTCCTCAGGCTTAGTTGTGTTCTCCATACTTAACTTACATAAATCTTGAACTGCGGGGAGGAAAAAATAGGGCTCTAGAAGGGAGCAGGTCAACAAGCCTGTCAGACAAGCGGGCTTGAAGTCCTAGATCAAGTTTAATAAGAAAGAATATGGCCGATTTTTAGTGGATCTTGCAACAATAGCTGAGCCTATCTCATTGCTGAAAATGCAAAAGAGGTGAGAAGAGCAAAACATTCATGATTTTCAGGTTCTCTTCCCCTATTCATCAACGTTTTTCTACACTTATCTATGGTAGAATTTTCAGTCTATCACCAAACCAAAGACAAAAGGCTTAAAATGGGGGGCCGGACGAATGGCTCAGTTGGTTAAGAGCTCAAGCTCTGAGCAACAGGGTCACCAGTTCGATTCCCACATGGGCCAGTGAGCTGCGCCCAAGCTGCCAACAGGTGGCAGGATGGGTCAGCTGGTGAGAGCACATGCTCCTAACAACAAGGTTGGCGGTTCGACTCCCATATGGGGTGGTGCGCTACGACCCCCAGCCCCCACCCCCAAAACTAAGATTGAACACAGCACCTTGAGCGAAGGGGCCATGAGCTGCTGATGGGCAGTCAGATGGTGACTGGACTTGGAGCTGAGTTAGCTGCACCCTAGAAAACTAAGATTGAAGAACAACAACTTCGCTGTTCCCCTTCCCCAATTCTGCAACACTATTCCCCTTTCCCCAATAAAATCTTTAAAAAAAGTCTTAAAATGCAAATGACTGAGATAAGAAAGCTTAATCATTGATAAAGAATATCAGTTAATCAACATGTATAAATGAATAACAGAATCCTTTCCCTGTGAAACTGGAAAAGGATCTGAAGATCAGGTCTATTATTAATCATTAGTACATTCAAAGCTTTCCATGGAGGAATGGTAGAAAAGGGAACCAAAGAAAAGAGCTCAAATGTACCAGGATAGCCTTATTTTTTTCATCTAAGCAGAATAAACAACCATGTAAAGAGGCAGTCCATTTTCACATATGTCTATTTATTTTTAAAAGATCTTTAAGTTTTATACTGCTCCAAAATAATCAACTGTTTCAAAAGATTATTTTATAATCTAACTTTATTACAGGACAAGGCCTTTGTAATCTGAGAGAGTAGCAAGACCACTCACTCCCCACCCCAGGCCCAAGAGTTTTCTCAAAATCACCTGAATTACACAACCATGTGTTTAGTAGGTTGTTGTAAATTTGTGATCTCTGGACTACTGCTGAATCAGCCATATCAAAAAGGTGAGAGGGAGGAAGAAACTAAAAGGAGATGGTATCCAGCAAATATGGAGTGGAGGAGACATTATGGTTGATTTGTAGTATATTACATGCAGTTAACTGAAAAATAAAGGTTAAAAAACAATATTTTACAAGGTCATGGGAGATAGCTACATAAATATTTTGATAGTACAAATAGAAACATTTCAAGAGATGTGTGAAACAAACTAGCAGCAATGCTATATACTGAGGCTTCTGTTCTTACAAGTATAGAAAACAAAATGACAACTCAGTGAGAAATCAGGTATGAGAACTGGATCTTTTACTTGTTTTGTTCCCTCTTTTAAATACGGAAAATCTGCATCCACTTATTTATTCACAATCTATAAGGTAGCTGAAAACGTTTAAGGAAAAATTGAGAATGAACAAATAATATAGGGCTGGCCGAGTGGCTCAGTTGGTTAAGAGCTTGCTCAAGAGTACGAGATCTGAACAACAGGGTCACCGGTTCGATTCCCACATGGGCCAGTGATGATGCACCCTGAGCTGAGCTGCCGCTGAGCTGCCAACAGGTGGCAGGGTGGCTCAGCTAAAAAAAAACAAAAATAATAATATAAAAATAAATCTTTGCAGCCAGCGTGAGCGGCCAGCAGCCAGCGTGAGCGGCCAGCAGCCGCAGTGAGCGGCCGTCCAGAAGCCGGCGACTGATCTGCCTCACCCTGGAAAGAACGCAATGATGGTGCCAACTTGGGCCAGTGAAGCAACGTCCTCTACAACTAGACTGAAGAACAAAACGACAGCAACTTGTCTGTTCCCCTTCCCCCAATTCCCCAGCACTGTTCCCATCCCCCCAATTCCCCAATAAAAATCTTTAAAAAAAAAAAAACTTTGCTATCACCTCAAATGTTCACTAAATGCTAAATTCTCTAATAGTCACAGAAGATATACAGAAATAAAAATCCATTATATATCAAGATTTGAGTATTTAATGACAGATGTCTATAAGAATCAGAATCGAGACCAGGATTTTGGTAAAAGTTTAACAAAAAAGGAGGGCCCCAAGCTGGTCCTTGAAGGACTTGCTACAATTGAAAGCGATACATAGATCCAAAGTTAAATCTCTACACCTGCTCATTTTGTTTGTCATGAGGGGAAAAAAGGGAGGGAGGCACAGCTAAATTATAAGTCTTAATGAATTCTAGTGGTAAACTAGGTTGCATAGATGGAAGTGGGGGCAAGATTACAAAATGCCTTGAACAAACGGCTGAGTTCAGATCAATAAAGTCACTGTCATTTTTATTAATAACCACCATCAGTTTTAGCAGCTCATAAAATGAAGGTTCAATACAGGGATCCTGCGTTATTAACTACTATATCCCACATACACTATGCTAGGTGCTAGGAATATCAAAATATATATGGCAAGACCAGTATCCTCTCAAGAAGATCAATTTAATTTGAGTAACTGGCATATGAATAAGGTGCACTGTTCCACTACACAGGTGGAAGGGACAAGGTTTCCAATCTTTAACATCAGGTAGGCATTACTTGCACTTGAAATTCATATTAGGTTTCTGATTTTTGAATTTGTAAGAGATAAAAGAGACAGAATAGAGCAAGATTTGAGATAAAAATATTTCCTCAGTGTTCATTTGAGCTCACAGGTTTACAAGGGAAGCACTACTCTACTTACCATTACAATATTCGTTCTGTATAAGCATATGATCATCTTCTGCCCATGCAGAGAAATATCGAACTACATGAGAATGTTGTCCAAGCACTGCATGAGCATATACTTCTCTCAAAGCGTTCTGCCTAGGAGAGATTTGAGATTAATAGAATGATAAATCATTTTTATTCAAACCTAAACTGATTTAATTTATCTAAAATCTAATAAAGAAACTTGACTTCTGTATCTATCATTATGCTGAAAAACAACTTGCTTAAGAGAGAGGGAGTTAAGACTCTACTCCAGATTTTTCGAAAGACTTTCATTAAAGAATGTCAGTTAGAAAGAAACCCAGGAATCAGGAAAGATGAAACTCCATTTTACTGTAAATTCATGGATGCTACTAGAAATAAGTTTAAGTTAGGTTTTAAAATCAGACTACTCATAGTATAGTATTTAACCAAGTCCAATAAGAATAATACAAAATGAAAACAATCTGATTAAATCATTATAGCTTCTCAAAACTTAGAGAATTAAATTCAGTGTCTGATCACCTAAAGCCTTAATGTTTGTAACTACAGGGAGCAAAAGACAAAATTTTAAATACATACTCATCAACAGAGCCGGCCAATGGCTTTTTTGACCGCTTAATGGCATAAATGCATCCATCCAGCCTCTTCACACACTTAAACACAGAACCGAATTCTCCAGAGCCAATTTTCTCTAGCTCATGAAATTCTGTTGTATACCGTGACTTCATATTGCTTTCAGTAATTGTAATTCTCTGTAATAAAAAGTGCATCCAGAAGTCAAATATATGGTGATGGATGGAGAACTGACTTTGGGTGGTGAGCACAGAATGTGATATATACATATAGAGAGAGTTGATGTGTTATAGAATTGTACACTTGAAACCTATATAATTTTACTAACCATTATCACCCCAATAAATTTAATTTTAAAAAAGTGTGTGTATATATATATATACACACACATGTATACACACACAAAAATATGAAATTTTTTTGCTATGATAGCACTATGAGTGAAATTTTAAAATTATGTTTTAATGCTTATTCAACATTATATATAGTAACTTGTTAAAAAGTAGAAAGTCAAATTTCAGAAACAAAAAGAAAATTTAAAGGTTATTTACTTTAGCAGGTCTTGTTTCATCTTCAAATTCATAGTCACTGGCTTCCATGTCTTCACCACAGGAACTAAAAAATATAATGTATTTTTTCCATCAACATATCTGAAAGCTATTATCAACTAGAGATCCAAGACTGCATCTGATAGGTATACAGTGAAATGAAATTTTAATAAAAACAGAAATGCATTTAATTTTATGATCACATGATACAGCTCAGCTGATAAAAATGTGGTCCCTGCTGAGATATGCTCATTAACCAGAAACCACCACTACCACACATATGAAAATTAAAGCCTTTCTAAATCAACTGTCTCTGCATGCCTCACTTTTGACACCAAGCTATCCAGGCTTTTCATTCCTTCCTTATTCATGCCACTCCTTTCCCACAGCAGATTACTTCCCACCTATCTCTGTTGAGAATTAGGTGCTAGTAATAGAGGAAAATTTCAGAGCATAAACTTCCATGTCATTCAGTTGAAATTAAATTGTTAAGTGTACCAAACCAATCTTGGGTGGTTGGGGAACCAAACCATTGAATAATGAACTTACTCATTCCAATATGTCCTCTTTCTTCTTCGACACTGTCCTGAGGAATGAAGTAACACAGAATCTGGAGTAAAAGGATTAATATTCACTTGAGGAGTCTGTCGAATGTCAAATTCCCTTTTTCCTGATTTTTCTGTATCCATGAATAGAGAACCACCTCGGAGTTTAACAGAGCTGGAATCAATTCCTCGAGCTTTGGAGAGCAAACTCTAGGAGAGGAAAAATAAGTGTTTAGGATCCAAGTCCTATACACAACCTTCTCAACCTAACCTTCAACAAACCTTTCACTTGGCTGAATGTAGGTCGAAGCCACACACAAGCCTTTGCTGTATTTCAACCAAAAGAAAAAGTGGTTAATTTAGGAGTCTGAAGCTGGATAATAACCATGTTTTCTGAAAACGATAGCTAAGAAAAATAGGTCTTTAGCCCTCAAGAGTAGGAATGGAGTACCATTGCATATTAAATTTAAGTTCATTTTAGAGGCTAAAAGTTAACAAACCCTTTCAATCCATCTAAAAATAGAAAGCAGTCAGGGAGAGCCCCATAAAAGATCCTCTCCCCTCCCCCACCTTAAACAGGTCTTTGAAAGCCACCTCCACTGGGCTCCTCCCCTCACTTCCAGAGGGATCTTGCCTCGGGCAAGTCGGCTAATCAACAGTAAAGCTCAAAAGCAAACATCTTTCTGAGGTTTAGGATTAAAAGTACTGAAACTGCATCAATTACAAAGGTACATTTTCCATCTTCATCTTCTACCATCTTCATCTACCGCATTCAAATGCGGTACCTGGCTCAATTTCGGGAAGTGTCCTTTTTAAAATTTACGGTTACTTCTAAAGTTCTAGTAGTAGTAATCTGCATACCCTCTACTTCTTCATGATACATTATCAACAATATGAACGCATACGAGTCCAAGCCCCAGTCCCAATGCTGGTTTTTAACAGTCGGATGTTCCTAATCATCACTTAGGCTGACCAAACTTGGGCACTACAAATCCACGGGTGTAAACAAACGCTTACCCAATAAAGCGTTATGTCTGGAAATAAGTTTAGATGCTACCCTAAGTTATTTACAAGTCTTTTAAGGGTGTAAATGCTTAGAAGGCCAGCCTTTTCGCCTCCGTCGAAGGCAGTCTTGCCTCCCTACATCAAACTACCTCCCCCCCATAAAGCCACATGACAAGAAAAGATAAGCGCATGAAAATTATTTTAACTGAACTCCTGCGTGCGCCGCCCAAATTACAGGACCGATCACTGCGTTTAAAAGGCACCATATGGCTGCGGCGCTCGCGAGTGTCAGGTGGCCGGGCCAGCACCACTCCAGCATTCTTCCAAACCACGTTATCGGTGCCACACTCCCGGCTGACACTCTCGGGGCGGCCCTACTGCGTTCACTCGTCAGCCACCTGGACGGCGCTGATCAGCCCCTTTGAAAGATGAAGAAGTTCCAGACGAGGCCCATTGTTCGGTTACATAATCCTAACGGACACTTCTGGGCAGGGCCAAAAAGAGGGGCTGCCAACTTTTTGTTGCGGAGCAGGAGAGCGAGAGGGGGTGCGGCCGGGCAGTTATGTAACCGAACCCGGGCAGCGCCCGCTCCGGGCGCCTCCGCCTTTTTTAAAAGGCTAGGCGGGCACGGAGCACCCGGGCCCCGGTGTCCTCTCACCTTGGGGGTGTGCGGCGTGTCGAAGAGCCGCAGCTTGCGGAAGGTCTTGTGCGGCGGGGTGCCGGGGTGGTCAGGCAGCGGCGAGCAGGGGCCCTCGCTAACCCTGCGTGCCCCGCAAATGCGCGGGGACGCGTCGCCCGGGCCGCCGCAGCGCACCGGCGAGAACGAGCTGCCCAGGAAGTAGGCGGCCGCCGGCGACTTGACCGGGGACGAGGAGCCGAAGCCCTCCTCCTCCCACGAGTCGCCTTCGGCCCCGCCGCCGGTCGCATCCGCACCGGGGCAGGCACCCCGCAGCACCATGTCCTCATCCAGCTCCCCAGGGCTGCCGGGGGCCGGGCCGGGCGAGCGGCAGCGCTCGGGCCCGGGCTCTACGGGGCTCCGCGCGGGAGGCAGCGGTGAGTCGGGCTCCTGAAAAGCGGAGTCTTCCCCGGTGCTGTGGCCGCTGCCCTCCTCCTCTTCTTCCTCCTCCTCCTCCTCACAGTCGCTGCAGGGCGAAAAGATCAGTTTCTGTCTCAAAGTACAGGAGGCCCCAGAGCGATGGGGCGGAGGCGACTGCTGCCGGCTCAGGAAGCTCATCGCGCTCCCGGGGCTGGGGCGGAGGACCGGAGAGCCGGGACCCGCGGAGTGCAGGACACAGTCGGCACAGGGGGCGGGTCCGCCACGTGCAACTGGGCGCGTCTGGTGGCCGCCGCAGCGGGTCTGCGAGGCGGTGGGCTGGGGCCCCGGGGCGCTTGGGGCTGCGGGCGACGGTAGCGGCGGCGACGCAGACTTCTCCGGGAGAGGCGGGGCAGCCCGTGCGCCGCGGCTGAGGTCTCCGCAGGTCCAGCCGCGAGTTCGGGCTCCGCGGCTTCCCGCGACCGTTAACCACGTGAGTGTCCAACCCACCAATCCCCGCCCAGCCCCGGGTTTGAAAAAAAAGGAGGGCGCGACGTAGCCCGCGGGGGCGGGATTAGTTACGTGATTTTGGCGCGAACCCGCGGGCTCCGCCCCCTACTCGGCGCTGGTTGGGCCAGGGTGGGCACAGCGCCGCGGGCCAATGAGTAAGCGAGATTGCCGGGAGTCTGGCCCGGCGCCGCCGCTTGAGGCCGAGCTAAGGAAGCCGAGGCGGCGCCTCAGGGAGGGGGCGAAGGAAGCGGGCTTCATTAGGCCGAGCCGAACGGAATCCTGCACTCGCCCTCCTAGCCGCCATTCCGGCGCTCCAGAGTCTGAATTGGGCCAGGGGGCCAGGGAGAAACTCTGGGTCCCTGCGGGTCACGGCAAACGCGGAACCGCCGTGGCCCTCGGGCGCTTCCCGGACATCAAGCAGCCTCCAGTCCCCAGTCCCTTTGGTGGCGGGGTGTTGTGGGCGTGGCTGTGGGCAGTCACGTTCCCGGTCGGGGTCTGAGCCGGAAATGCTGACTCGGGCCTCAGGACCTTTCCGAATCATGTGAGCCGATGGCTTAGGCGGGGCTCCGAAATCAGAAGACTGGCTCGCGAGTTCTCGAGGCCTGGACACCGGCTGTGGGAGCGGCCTCAGGAGCCTTAGTTTCCCCCTAGGGTCCCTATTAGGGTGCGGTCTCCCCCAGGCGGTGGTCCCTTCTGCTGTCATCCCGTCTTGTCCAGAGTAAAAATAAACAGCACCATAGTTGGTCCTAGCACAAAACCAAGTGCCCAGCTCGCGACTACGGTGTTTGTTTGCCAGCACGTGGGCAAGAGTTGGCAAAAGGGATTGGTCCAGTTCGCTGCAAACTTAAAGGCAATTTGAGAAAAAATCCTCTAGTACCTGCATCAAATTGTGATTTAATTCGTCACTTAGTGTCGCACATACAGGTTTCTTAATTTTTCAGTTGTAAATAACCTCATAGTTAATATCCTCGTTTTTTTTCCTCTGTGGTGTGTGTGTTTTATTATTCTTTAGGATATATTTATATAAGTGAGAATTACTGAGTCAAAGTATATAAACTGCCATTCTGCCCTCCAGAAAAAAAAAATTTACATTCTCACTAGCAGTTGGTTAGAATACTCTTGTGAATTCTGAACATCAGTGGGTGTTTAAAGTTTGTTAACGTAGTTTTGTTGTTTTGGTTGATATTGGACAGATTTCATGAGCTTAATGGCCATTTACATTTATTTCAATTGTCTGTTTTTCTTATTGTAGCACTTTATGAACATTAACACTGCCATATGTGCTCTAACACTTTTTAAAGGCTAAACTCAAGCTGGATTTTGAATAATGAAAACATCTTAGTACTCATCACATGGGAAATGTCCTAAAGATGCAGTGAAGGGTAAACAACTGGCTTCTACAAACATTTGCTAACTGATGTATAAATGTCTTTTTTGCATGTTAATCCGAATTCAGTTTTAAGCTCTTGAAAGACAGGAAATTTACTTCTTGTGTTTCAAGGAGAAGCAGTCGCTGATTTATGGTGGCCAAAGCCAAGGAGTGGTGTTTAACACTCTCCCTCCAATGCTTCCTCTCCTGATGACAAATATAATTTTTTGATATGGATAGTCGACATTTTCCCAATTTCATGTGAAATGTAAATAAAAATAACTTTAGAAAACTTCTACTCTTTATTAATCTGTAATATGAGTTGTACGTAAAACTAGTGTGCTTGCTTCCTAAGTAAAGGGGAACTTTCAAACCCGAAAGACACTTCTCCCCCACAAGATTGTTGCTCCTTAAGCCCCTTCCATATAGGAATTCTTTATCCCCTATTAATATCCATGCTAACTCATGTCCCCCGTCCCCCCCACTTCACTCTTTCACAACACCCTGCTTTATTTCCTTAACAGGTTATATCTGTCTCAAAGTATGTTGTTTATTACTAACCCCTTCTAGAAAATGAAGTCCCTCAGTGTAGGGACCTCTTCTGTTTATTGCAGTATTCTGATGTGGCTTAGTTGCCCAATATCTTCTTAGTGATAATAGAGCCCTTACTTACATATTTGTTGGTTTATTTTTCTCAATATAAATTCAATGGTACAGAAGTCTCCCACCTACCCCTTCAGTCCCCAGCCCAAGTCCCCTTCCTGGAAGTAAACACTCTTTTAACAATTTTTTAAACTCTGAATTTGGCCACCTGTCATATTCCCTAAACTGGGAGGTCCTTGAAGTAGGCTGGGGCAAAAGGGCCGCACTCTGGATGGGAAGGGATGTGTTCTTGGTCCACAGCCCCAGCCCTTTGAATTCTTGGCACCCAAGTCCTCCTACCCAACAAATGTATGGAATGACTAGGGGAAAGAAGGAATGTCTTTATAAAAGTTGAAAACAAGACTCAGAGTAAGAACCATTTCCTCTATAAAGCCTTTCCTTGACTTTCCACCTCCAGGTAAAAGACATTCCATGCATGGACTATGTAACACCCGGCATGGACTAAGGAACACTTTTTACTTGTCTGGCTTCCCTCTCCCCCAGGACTGAGATCAAGTTTTATTTGTCTTTGTAGTTCAAGAAACCAGCAGTGTGCCTTGACCTCTGAGAAGGTACTTAACAAATGTTTCTGGAATAATTGAATAAAAATCTTGTGTTCTTTAAAACAAAAATGCCAAAATGAGTAAGTAAACCCAGGGCCTGCCTCCTTCAGCTGAGAACATGGCACAGTGTTGTGGTTTAACTGCAGCAATGTCCTAACTGAAATTCTAAATGATTGTTCTGATTTTTTAAATTTCATGCTTTTCTGAGTACAGCACTCACTGTAGAGGAGAAACAGGGTTACGCCCACCTGCCCCAGGGCATATCTAATTCAAATTTCCTGTTCTTTCCCTACCCAATGTTATTTCTAACTATAATGTTGCTAGGCAACTTATGCAGAATCCACGAGCTTGTGGTAAAGTTGCAATAACTGAGTAAAAAATCTTGCCTCTAAGGCGTTGGCAGAACAAACTTAACCTGTTTGTCTCCTTTAAACAGATGGCTTAGCTCTTTAATACCACTATTGTCAGCCCATTCACCTTCCTTAGCAAAATAAGCAGGAGTCCTGCCCTAAAGATTTGTAATTCAGATTCCTAAATCACCCTCTCAAATACTTTTTATACAAGCACATGAATATATGTGCATATTATTATTAACATAAGAATGCACTTTTGAATGAAAGATCCTTCAGAACTAGAAACTAATTTTTCAGTCTGTAAAAATGTCTCATAAAACTAACCAGGCTTTACCTAAAGTTGAATCTTTTCTAGTTTATGCTTTTTGATTCTGGAGAAGTAAATTTCGAAACAAGATCCTACTCTGATAGATTTCTAATTAAAAAAAAAATCACATTAGTCAAATCTGTTTTTCAATTAAAAACCAAATAATATGCTAAAAAAGTTTTAACTTTCTTCCTCTTCCTTGCTATCTTTACCTTTCCCCTTCTGCTGGTTCTCTCAGTAACCAAACACTCCTACCCAGTTCTAACTGTTACCAACTGCCGGTTGGTCCCAGAAATCCCGATCTCAGACTGGAATGTGGTATAACTCCTACCACTGCTCCTGTTTCACTTCCCAGTTATAGATTTCTCTACTCTGTCACTTGTCTTAATACCCTCTGATGGATGACGTTGTTTGACCATTTCACCACGTGTTCATCAGCTCACCCTGAGAATACAATACTGTATAATCAAATCCAGTTCATCCTTAGTTGGTCAAAGAATTAAATGGAGACTAGCATTGTCCCTTACAAATAGTGGTCAGTAAATGTTATGTGTGCTCTTAATTATAGTAATGTTGTTTAAGAATAATTCACACTTGTTAATGGCTTTGTAATTAGTAAATGCAACATTTGACTCTTGATATCCACAAAATAAATTTGCTTAATACAGACAGGCAGTTGAGTTTGTGTACAAACAGTGAGGATAATCAAATCAGAACAGAGATAGTATTGATATAACAAGAACTTGAAAAGCATAGCTCTGGAAAAGTGACCAGTTGAGAGTTTGTATTTTAATAACTTAAACATTTTTTCTTGTCACACCTACATAATCTTTAAAGGCTACGAACATACTATTTCTGTTTATCTGTCTAACATTGATATAATCAAAGGCAGATTTCATTATTTCCTTTAGGTATGGATTACATCAATTATTCAGGTTACATGCAAAAAGTTTGAGGATCTAAGATACTCATTCACTTTTTGCTTGGGGTCTTTCAGCTATGAGAAACCATGCCAGGGTACTTAAAAGTTGTGTCTGTACAGACACAAAACCTTGGCGATCACCAGCCTTATTAGTGAAAGAATTCTTCAGGCCTGCTCCCAGTTATCTCAACCCACAGGCCCCTAATTTTGAAAGACTTTACAGGCCACTGCAATCAGTCAGCACTGTGGCAATGAGACTAACTTCAAGACTTTCCCAAGAGAAAACACTGACCCACTGACCATATCATTCCTAGATAAGAGTTCTCGACCAACATATTTATTTATTTATTTATTTATTTATTTTTTTGTAAAGATTTTATTGGGAAACTGGGGAAGGGAACAGTGTTGGGGAATTGGGAAGGGAATGTTGTGTTTTTCTAGGACCCATCAGCTCCAAGTCCAGTCGCTGCCCTCAATCTAGTTTGTTTCTGTGGGGGGAGGGGGGAAGGGGGCACAGTCCACCATCCCATGTGGGAGTCAAACCCACAATCTTGTTGTTAAGAGCACACACTCTACCCAACTGAGCCACCCAGCCCACCTTCAACCAACATATTGTGAAGCCAAAACATCATGCTTCCTATTGCTATTTTAAAACTCCTTTCTGCTGCTGGAATGGAACAGAGTAGCCCCCTATTCTCCAATATTTTTTTGGTATGTCTTTTACAGAGGCCCAAAAGGCTGCTTTTATCTATATTCTTAATGAGTTTCAATAACTGAAAA